ATAAAATTATAATCTGTAAAAATAATCAGTAAAAACTAAAATTTCATCTGACTTTTGACTTAAAAACTCAAATAAATATTTAATGGTCTTCAATGTTTTTATAATAAGATTAATAGAAAGTGAAATTAAAATTACGTATAAAGAGTATCAGGTACTTGTCCCATTTTTTTTCAAATAAATGAAGAAAGAAAATGATTTCAATAGCCTAATATTTCCACATGATAATTTTAAAAAGTTCTCTTATAAAAAGTTTTAGCTTACTTTTTTAAATTCAGAAAGTATTCAGAACTTACTTTAAGTGTAATAGAAAGAACAATTTGTCTATTTAGAATAAAATATTATTCCTTATTAAAAATTAAAGAAAGCTGATATTTCATAAAAAAATTATTAATTTTTGCTAGTTTCTGACTGTAAGCAACCTGAACAATCAATAAAATAAAATTCTAATAAAAAATAATTAATTTCTGCTAGTTTCTAATTGTAAGCAATCTGAACAATCAATAAAATAAAATTCTCACGATATAATAAATTACCCAAAAGAGCTCAAAACGAATAGTCATGACTAGGACTGGGTGATATTAGAAATTATATATCGTGATGCACCGTCAGTTTTGCATCGCGATATAGTATTTTTGTATCGCGATATAGTATTATTTAATTTCATTTACTTGTAAGGCACAGAAAATCAGATATCTCTTAAAACTCCATACTCAAATTGATTTAAATCAATTTATAAATTTGAAGATATATATGTTTTGGTTTAGAAAGATAATAAATAAATTGACTACAATGTACAAATCTTGCTTAAAATATTTATTGAAAAAATGTGTGTAGATACAATATTTGTACCTGTTTATCGTTTATAAGGTATAAGCAGTCTTAATTTAAGTTAGATACTTTACTAAGCTTTTAACTAGAAATCAAAGAAAGTTTAAAACGATAGGTTTATGAATTTATTCGGAAATCATCAGTTGAACATCAGTAGGAGTAAACACAAAATTAGATCGGCTGTTCGACGACGGTTATAAAATTATGAAACAGATAATGTATCAATTTATTGAATATAAACGAAAAGCTCTTCTTTCTAACTCAACCAGTAAAACAAAATAAGCTACAATTTAAGTATCGAAATACAATTATATACTTATGAAAGCTATAAAAACAACCTATTTTAAATAAAATTAAATTATAAAATTTTGCGTAACATGCTAAAGAAAACTANACTAAATCTTAGTAGTAAATATTCTAAATCTTTAAATTTTAGTAGATAAAATTTTTTACATAATTGGAAATGATACATGTATAAATGAAAATTTAAAACTTTAGCTTTGTCGATTTATTGAGCACTAATATCATAGCTTCATAAATTAATACGTATAGTTCAACTATATTTTTAATTTATTTATCAATAGATGGTGTCCAAAGGGTCTATTAAAGGTACTTACGTATTAACGCAACAAGGCCAAAATTCGCATAAATTGCCAAATTTGGCGACCCTACTTACGGCAACCCTACGTGCTATACGTGGTTTTTCGTAATACCTTATCGAATTTATATGGCGCCAAGCTCAAGCTGTTAATGGCGAAGACGGTTTTCAATCAGTGCTAAAAGCAATAGCCTAAAGATTTCCGCCGAAAGAATAACTTACTTTATCTATTGGTACCTATGTAGTATATTTGCTAATTCTGAACTCTACTCTCCCACCGAAAAAAAGTGTTTATAACCCAGTTAATACTGTCTGGTTTTTATTTTGTAGATACAAGGACAGATTTATCATCGAATTGGATCATTAATAATGCCGCGACCAAGACGATCGAATCTTTCCCGACAAAGCCGTGATGCAAGAAGAATACGAAATACTGCAAATGAAAGGACTGAAGAAGAACAAGAAATTGCACGTGAACAGCGCCGCGATAGTATGGCTCGACTTCGTGCTTATCAATCACGAGAGCAAAGTGAAGCAGCTCGGTTGGCAATGCAGAATCGTCGAGCGAACAACAGAGGTCAACAAATAGATAATTTGTGACGCAGAACAAGATATTTATCAAGTGCTGATTTGAATCGAGCAGCGTTTCAATACGATTGCAGCAATGATTACAGCTTGCATCCTAGCGTTTGCATTGGGCAAATGGACGTAGTTTGCGAGCATTGTGGTGCATTAAAGTTTTCCGGAGAAACGCCTGGATTATGCTGCCTTAATGGTAAAGTGAAATTGCCATTGTTGACTCCGCCACCTGAGCCATTGTATTCATTGCTTTGTGGCGAAACACAAGAATCACGCCACTTTCTTGCAAATACTCAAAAATACAATGNCAGGTCCGCGGTGATGAAAAGGTTGGGGAACACTGACATAAAGTATCAGTTATTCTTCCAATGTACTAACAGATGTAACAATTTATGAGAATAAATTAAAATTTATTAAGTTCAAAAAAATAATAATAATGATTAGAAGAAATAACACTGAAAAAACAAAATTTAAAAAAAAACATTATTCTAATTAAGCCTAAAATAAAAAAAAGCGATGGAATGGTTTATTAAAAAAGATTAATGTTAGAACGTTACGCTAATAATTACGTACTTCAAAAATATCGTTACGTAATGGTAGTTAAAAGTTACTTTAACAAAAGGAAAAACGAAATACCAGATCATTTTTGAAAAGGTATAAAGTATCAGTTATTCTTCCAATGTATCAAAAGATGTAACAACTTATGAGGATAAATTAAAGTTCATGACGAGTAAAAGAAGATCAATAAAGAGATTAGACACGGAGATTATCTTCAATTTATTCCAGTGTTTAGATTTTATAAAGAGAAGGAAATATTTACTCATGCATTACAATATTCAAAATACTGCTAACGTAACGGTTTTCCTGTTAACACAGATTTTGTATATGCTTCTGATTCTTTTAAATAATGGTATATAATGCGTTTTTTTCTTCTATTTTTTATTATTTTAAAGTAAGCTCTTGAGTGCGATAAAATACTTATTTCTTAAAAAATTAAATTAACTTTTTAAAATTATTTTTAATAAACGCATAAAAAATCATCAATATTAATTTTTAGCATTTTTTGCATAGAGTTATTTTTAGCATTATTTGTATTGAATGATTTTGTCAAAATTTTAGTACTTTTACAGTGTATTTTTTAACATTTTGATCAGGAGACAAAATTCGGTGTAGTTGCTTCGTTTATTGGGATTAAGATCATTTGATTTTTCAGTCCAGCGTGAAAGCACGAAGCGGTCTTCATTTCATAATAATTTATGGTATAATAATAAAAAGAGTGGGCGTTTCTGCGGAAAAATTAATACTCAAAATAGTGGCATACAGAAGAGAGTAGTGGAATTTTCATATATCCTTCATAAAGACACTGGACTACTCAAATCACGTGAATTTCCATCAAAAAAGAGGAAATGCGATCGCATTTCCCATTCACGAACGTCATCCTTCTGTTACGCATTTGGCGGTGCATCTGGAGAATGGTCAACGAGTATATTTCACGGCTTCGAATGCTACGCAACGTGCTGAAACACCTCCAGCAACTACATTGACCAGTTTTTTTGCAATCTGCCAAAGCGATCAGTTTGCACGAACTTTGCTTTACTCGGAGATGCCACGTTATATACTTGGAATGCTTCATCGAAGAATTTNCCTTAAAAGTTTGTGGTTTAAATCTAGAACATTCATGTTTTTCCCATGGTCAATTATACATGGCATGTTCACGGGTCGGAAGACCATCTGCGTTGTTTGTTTTTGCGCCTGATAATAAAACAAAAAATGTCGTGTATCACAAGGTACTTAAATGAAGAGCAACCTATGTACTAAAATACAGAAATTTTTTTTTGTATTTTTTCCAATAAAAAAAAAATCTGCTTATTTATTGACATTAAGGCGAAACAAAGTTCGCCGGGTCAGCTAGTATGCTTTATAAAGACACTGAACTGATTCAAAAATAGAATATCAAAAAAATTTAATATTCACCCTTAAATTACCTGAATTTCCATCAAAAAAGAGGATATGCGAACATAAGAGAGCTGAGGAGTTTTCATATATGCTTTATAAAGACACTGGACTGATTCAAAAATAGAATATCAAAAAAATTAATTTTCACCCCTCAAATCACCTCCATTTCCATCTAACTAAAGGAGAGTAGTGGAGTTTTCATGTATCCTTTATAGAGACACTGGATTAATTCAAAAATGGAATATTAAAAAATTTAATTCTCAATCTTCAAATTTAATCAATTCTTGTACTATAGAAGTCAATTGGGCTCTAAGTATATGTTCTTACATTGTAATTTTTATAATTATTCTTACAACAAAATCTTCTTTAGACCACTTTTGATTGCTCCTATTTACTCTTCCTTTTACATTCATTTATTTATCACTTTCTAGTTAAAAATATATTTTATTAGATATTAAAAGTATCAGATTTTCAGGGATTGAGGGGAGGGGCCCACTTTGCGTGTTTACCTAGGGGCCATCCGAGAATCTAGTTACGCTACTGCTTCACAATATTACTTCAAGCCGTATTTTAGAGTAACTGAATTTTAAAAATGCCTATGTTTAAAATTCGATTTCTCATCAACTATTCGAATGATTTCCTACAAATTCTGTATTTGTCCTTGTAAAATTACGTTTATTAAAATCATATAAAAAGTTGTACATTTTACAATTCAAATTTAGTTGCACAATTATTAAATAAAAAAAATAATAAATTATTAAAAATCCTTTTTTGCATGAAATTATCGTTGGATAAACGAATTTTGTAATTCTTTGAAAAAACTTTTCGATTAGACTCCTGAGAAATTACGAAATATGCAAAAAATGAAATTAGCATTAAGGGCTCTAAACATTCTCTTGATCCAACTATTTGGACCAAATTTACCAGATTTCATCTACCCTCCATATTTCGAGGATAAGGAATCTAGATGCATCGAAAAAAAGGTATGTTTATTCAAAGAAAGTAAATTTATGCGTTTGTTTTCGTACATAAAATTTCGTACGCACGAATTAATTAGGCGTATTTGAAGTCCCTCCCCCCCATCGAATCATTATAATTGAGTCCTAGCATGCGAAGATCTAATCATTAGATTAAAAGTTATTCCGTGTGTTAAATTTTTTTTTCATTGCCATTGTACATATAACATAAAAATAAATAATTATGTAAAATTCGAAGGAAAAAAAATTAAAAAGGTCATTGTTTAAGAACGAATCTCGAAAATGGAAACATTTATTTCAATAACATAGTGAAAAAATGTAGGATTCATTATTTTCGCAAAGTTTAACGACGGTTACAGAGCAAAATTTTATAATAATATTAAAAATCAAACGTAGAATGAAATCAAAATAAAACTTATTGATAATGATCATACAATGACAGAAACTAAGCTTTTCAGTAAATAGGTAAGATTATTAAAAATGTATGAATTGCGTAAATTCAAATGATAGAGATGTTGATAGTTGTACAAAATTAACAAATTTATTATCTCTAAGAAATGCGTGCACATAAACAACTGCTGAGTGTAGAAGTTATCCTACATATTTTCATTGTTCAATTCATTGTCATGAATAATATATTTTTCTTTCTAATGTTTACTTCCGACTTTTCCAATAAAAAATTTTCAGATTTTTAGTTATCTTAAACTTTTCTTACCTATTAATATTATAGCTCACTTATATTTAATGAAAGAAATAAAAGAAAATTAATTTTTTTTCATCTTCTGTCATTATTGTGCCTAGTGCAATTTAAGTATTAACTTCTATAGTAACTTCGAAAGTAAACGAAACTATTTTTCGGATGCGCCGTTAAATTATATAGCAAATGTTATGCTTTGTTTAAAATTACGTTGTTGTTGTAATTTTAAAAAATATGTATAATAATTTTGTTATTTATTATACATTAATATTTAATAAAAAGAGATATTATTAAAAAAATTGAGTCTATTTTATAAGGGGAAAAAGTAGTTTGACTCTAATTAAGAAAAGAAAAATTTTCATCTTTGCAATGACAATCGGTAAAGGAAATATCATTTAAATTCCTACTTAAAAAATTATAGTTACAAATTCTTTTTCTTAAAGTAGAGGATTATTTATAAGCAGTTGAAACTTTAACTTGTTTTAAAGGAAAAATGTCAGAAGAATTATGAATAATTTGCGAAATCCTAGCACTTTCAAATTTTTTATCTTGAAAATTAATGATACAAAAAACTTTCTGAACATTAGAAACCTTTTTAAAAAGTAAATCAGTTTTATCAACCCCAAGCTTAGACTTAACCAAATCCAAAACAATAAATTTAATAAGTTCAGTATCAAATTTAATTTTACTCCCAAATTTAAAAATGAAATTTTTAAGAACTTTATTCTTAAATCCAAAAATAGATTTCCTAATAATAAAAATATTATTAAGATTAACTTGATAGTTACACATTTTTTTAAATTCATCAAAATCAATAATTTTACCAGGTCCTTTACCTCTTTTATACCTAAAACTAGACAAATTACAATTAAACAATTTAAATTTAAAACAATTTAAATTTATTATGAACACAATAATTATCAAAATCAATAGTGCCTTCACCATTAAATTTACTATTTAAACCATAAGGAAACAGGGTTTTAAGACTACTAATATTTTCTAAATCAAGCCTATTATCTAAATTATCCATAAAATCCAAAATAAAGAGAGTAACATTATTAAAATCGTGAAACTGAAAGTACAAAATTTCATAATCTGTTGAACATTTATTTTTATTACTATCAAAATTTTTAATTGCAGACCTATGTGAATTAATTCTCTTATGAAATTCTAACCCCATCTGACCTATGTAACATAGATTGCAACAATTGCATTGAATTAAATAAATAATATTAGAACATTTAAAAAAAAATTCATTGGAATGACACTCAATCTGTGAATCATCAGCTAAAGGACAAGTTTTACAAATTTTATTTTTACATTTTTCAAACTTTTTTATATAATTTTTTAATTTATTTAAACATAAAATTTGACTTAGTAACTTTTTATCCGAAGTAATCCCTAAGACAAGATTAACATCAGTGCTCCTCGTTTGGGCGCGCGACGAGCTATGCGCCATGAAATAATCTTTAATTCTGCTTTGCATAGTTTTTAAAAAAATTAACCTAAAAAGTAAAAATTATTAAACATAATTAATATAATTTTTCAATTTTTCTTCGTCTCATTAGTTTGACTCTAGTTATTCAGATCAGTTGATAAATATATACTTGTAAATTTCTAACCAAGAATGAAAACTTCAATAAAATTCACACTATTTTAATATACTAGTTATAAAAGATGCATAAGTCAAACATCTGTGTTGCTATTTCTAATGCCACTTTGCTCCAGCATGGTGAAACCAAGCGAATTTAAGGCAGAGAGTGCGTTTCTTGTTTTTCAGTGGCGCCATCTATAGCCAAGAATACAACATTAACCACGCACATGTCGCAGCCCGTTTATAGGGGTGTTTGAATTCTGGGTACCCTGTGCTCCCGTTCAACCCTTTTTGTCAACGACGACTACACGTGTGTAGCAAAAGAATCAGCAAACTGGTTACATATAGGGATCAGTGCTCCAGACAAGAGGTGTTCTTTCCATAGACAGACTATAAACTGCGCAGTAGGGGGTAAAAAATATGTCACTATGTTCGAGTCACTAAACTGTGCAGAGGGGGAAAATACCATATGCGTCACTATATTCAGACTACTAAAGGATCGGATTTCTCGTTTATGGTAACCCGTGAGGAGGCCTGTTCTCTTCTAGGAGGTGCTGTCTTTAGTCACTGCAACATTCTTGGTGATGAACATGCTGATCAGTCTGCTAAAACTTGATGCTCCTTACCCTAACAATTTATACTAATGTCTGATGTGAAATAAAGAAAACGATCCACAGTACAATTTAACTAATGTACTGATATTTTAAAAGTTGTGGAACTTTTATTTATTTCAAAAAATATCAATCTTTTAATCCTACTTTTGATTTAAAGTTTTGTTGCAAGTCTGCTGTTTCATCTTCTTCAGATGAATCTACTAATACTGTAACTTTAAAAAAAAATATAAAAAAATATTTGCTTTTTTTATCAATCATCTTATTTTGCAACATTTTTATGCACAATAACTAACTAAAACAGTAATTAATAAGCATCAGTTTCTCTTTGGCTTAATTAAATTGGTAAGTTTTTAATGTATTATAAGGAGATATTCTTATAAAAACATGCATCTTGCATGTCTATTTCTCTAGAATGGAGGATTCTGGTATCCTCATTGCAAACATAGCTGCAATTTTCTTTTTTAATTAGATTTTGTGAAATGATTTATGAAATTATCTAAGAAAAGTCTTTAAGAATTGAAATTTAAAAAAAAAACATATAAGTTCCTCAAAAATAAGGAAAGTAAGTTTTTTTTTTGTGATTAAAAATATTTTCTGAAATCAAGGTCTAACGGGAAATGTATCTAAAAATGTCCCCCCCCCCTATTATCAGTAAATTAAAGACTTTCTAGATTAATTTCACTTATTTGTGATTAATTTTATTTATTTGTGATATCGAAAAATTTGTCATCGAAATTCTTGATATCAACGTATGACTGAATAAAATAATCTAAGATGTTCTACCTAATCAATATAATTTAAACTACAAATGATAAAACTGACTAAATTGTTTATAGTACTTCAGAACTAATATAACAATATGATATTTTTTAAAATTTTTGTGAATTCTTAACAGTTATTTATAACTTTTAGGTTAAGTTTTGCTCGTCTTTAGTCAACACCCTCTATGCTAATTGTGAAATAAGAACGAAATATCAATATCAAGTAATATCATTTTAAATATAATTTTATGAAAATGAGACTAACGTTAGCCATTAAATACATTGTTTAAGACATACAAACTATGGCCTTTTTTTAATTTTTTCCTTGGAAGAGCACGCTTAAACTACCTCAATAATCTTAATTTAAGTACAAAGTGCAGGTATTAATTACCTGATCAGAAATGATCTAATAACTCCTGGAAATACGAATCCTCTGTGCAACAAAGACTACATTCATATAGTTTTAAAAAAATCAAACCGGAATCAAATTTAAATTATTATTCTTTCAACTTAAGAGTTCAGAAAGTTACAAATATTGTAAGCTATTAATAATTTTTTTTAATTTTTCTATTTGTAACATGATAAAATAAAGATTAAAATATGTGGAAAAAGATTTTTAAAAAAACATTTAATTAGTTAATCCCTATTGTTGCAAAATTCATTAAAAAATCTTATTTTACAAGCTTCTACAGTGTTGTGCCCCCAAAAGAATAAAAACTGTAATGCTATATTCAATGTGAAAGATTTTATTTTTTATTTTTCACAGTATTCACATGTTTGTTCTGTACATTTTTCAATCAATTAAAACAAGAATATATTTTGTTTTCAATGAAACAGACGGAGAAAAAAAAACTTAAATTTTCTATATCACAACTTTAATACTGAACACAAATAATTTCAGATAAGTGCTATAAAAACGGCAAAACAAATAGTGCTATAACAAAAGTATAAAAGCAATCAATTTGTAATGGACATTACACTAAGAAGTAAACTTCAATTCATAATTGACAAAAATGAAAAATAAGCTCGTGTTTACTAGATTTTTGAAAGATAAATGTAATTAAATTTTTAAGAAATAAGATGATATAAAACAAACGTATTAAAGCATCACTATGAAATTACTAGGAATTCTCAAGCAGGCGTCAAATACTTGATAAATTTTCTTTAAAAATCAAAAAGTTTATTTTTTTTTTTCATATATTTTTTCACAAGATTCAAATTGCAGTCTGCATTAACAGTGTTCAATAAGATCCACCCTTGTTACATACTTTTAAAATATTTAGAAGAAAAAAAGTAAAATATTATGCACATTGTGGGATCACAAATTTAATATTTAAGCTAAGAAGCAAAAATTCTATATAAATCAGTAGAATCACTACTGAAGAAAGCAAGATAAAAAACATATAAACAAGTTTGATGGTCTAAAGAAATTTGGAAACACTTTGAATAATGGACTTTCAACTTCAGTTTTCTCTGACAATCAAATATTTTTTGATGTTCTGTCCTGCTTTCTTCAGGAGTGATTCCTTAGATTAAAATAGCATTTTTTTTTCTTAGCGTAAATATTGAATGTTTATTAGGGTGGAGCAGAAAAAAAAGATTTCTATAATCGAAAAACACTATCTTCCAAAAGTTGTATATGGATTAGTATATCAATTGTGAAATTTTCCAGAATTTTCATGCACCAACGTTTCCCGCAAAATTAAAATTTAGTCATTAAAAAACATCGCATTAGTTGAACTTTCCTGTGATTTTATATCAAACGTAAATCAGTCATCAATGCTACTTTTGTGAAGTTATGGTGTACTCTTTAGTTTTCTCTCACTTACTTATTTTTAATTGTAATTTTATAAACCTCACAATAGTATTAGTAATATGAAAAAAGCTAAAAAAATAAAAACCCTCAAGAGTTCATAGACATTACTGAGCAAAGAGGAACCAGAAAAATATCAAAACAATTCATGAATAATATTTCAGTAAATACACGTTTGCAAGGTATTTTATTTTCATCTGAGAATTTTTTAGAATTTGGTATTTTTTTTAAATTTTGTACTTGTATAATTTTTACAGATATTGCAAAAAGTGAAAATATAGTTAAAAAATACTAAAAAAACTCACAAATAATATTTCATTAAACACACAACTGTTGAGTGGTAAATTGTTTTTACAAGACAGTTTGGTGAAAAATTTACAAAAGTTTGTTGTTTTTTGAAAATTTTTTAATATTTTAAGGCTCTTGCGGGCAATGAAAATGATACATAAAAAAATCTGAAAAAATTCATGAGTGATATACTAGCCCATATTAAACTTCTGAGAGGTAGTACTTTTTCATTATGAAAAACTTTGTTTCCCCACCACCCTGATGTATACGCTTTTTTGAGTTAAATTTAGAGATGGATTCTAAAATTATATAATAAGAATGATCATTGTAGAACATTTTGTATCAATTTTAAGCAGAGACATTTAAATTATTTGACAGCTCTTTTTAACTAATTTTTAATAGGAAATCTGCTTCTTACAGAAATTTCAGAATTTAATAAAGAATATTTTTATATTACAACTCTTGAAATAAAAATATTTTTAATTTATAACTCATTATTTTCAGTGCTTTAACTTACACGTCTTTAAAATACATACTTAAAGGAGGATTTTTGATTCAATTTTTAACACAACTAACAAAAAAGTAAATTTTACAAAGATACTAAAAAATTATTTCACTTACACTAACAAATTCATAGCAATTAGATCAATTAAAATGAAAATAATTTATGGCTTAAAATACTCTTAAGTTACTTAAAATGTTGACCTGTCCTTCGGAAACAGGTAAAACTTTTTAGAAAAGAAAAAAAGTAGTCAAATGGTCATAAAGTTTGGTAAATGCCTAAATAAATATATCTTTCATTTCTGTCATTAAAATACTTCAGTTCCAAAGTATCTGTCTCCAAAATTTCCTGAAAAACACAAATACATTAATTTAATAATTAATACAATGACAAATACATAATCATAATTTATTATCTAATATGAAAGATAATTAAAGTGCAGCAGAAATAATAACACTTTTTGAAAAAAAAAATTATTTTACAAATTTCCTAACTAAATTTAGTTATATTAATTAACTAATAATATAACAGTAATGATTTTTTTTAAATATTTTGCATCTAAATATGTTTGAAACTTTTGTCTTTATAAAATTATGCAAATAAGGAAAATCAATCATTATAAACAAAAATACTGTTTACAGTTTACTTTACAGCTTCTAAACTTTAGTAAAGGTTCATTGGGATATTGAAATTCTTTTAGCAGTAAAAAGTATTGTGCTTCATATAGCTTGAAACACTTTTAAACTTTAAATTTATTTTAAATATAAAAATGCATGAATAATGTTAAACCATCATACAGGATTCCAACTCAATTTCAGAAATAAAATTCCTTGATTTTTTCCAATAAAATTTAAAATCACAATTTTGTTATACATAACATTTTATTAGAAATACTTTTTATTCTCCAAGCAATGAAAATTGCTTAAAAATATATCATACTACATTTTTGTAAAAAATGAAATTTTCAAAGGCTAAAGATTAATAAATATTTTTTTTCTTACACAAATGCATAAAAATAATAATTGAACAAATGAATAAAATAATTAAAAAACAATATTTTGAACTAAAATTGAAACCCATTGCAATATTGTTAATTAACAAAGTCTCGTAAATAATATAACTAACATATTTGAGAATAAGAAATTAAATTAATTACACAAAAAAATACATTTTGAAAAACAATTATCAATCTTAAGATTCAAAGATCTATCATTACTGAAAAACAAACATGGTTACACTTAAATAAAAATTTGAGACACAGGGATGAGAGTAGTCAGAAAGTATAAAAGAGGAAATCCAAAAAACAAAAACAAAGAAAAAAGAAAGAAAGAAAAAAGGAAAAAAAAGTATATATATATATATATA